TAAGGTGAGTCCTGCTTCTAGAGGCTTCTATCCCTTGTGACCTTGGTTGGGTAAGTCGCCATTGGGCGAAGTGCAGTTTGTCCTGGTCTATTCTAGCTATCCTACCTTCGCCTAACTGGTGCTTTACGAAGGTTTCTATTATTTTGTCTTTGTTTATGATATTCTCTTCTATTTTCCTGCAGGTTCTTTTCCACCGTCCTGAGTCCTCTATATTCCGCCTCTACTAGGTGCAAAACTCCTTCCCAAGCTTCTTGGGGTGTCATGGTTGAGCGATCAATCGTTTCTTGGCATCTGCGCTTCCAAATCATCCATAAGGTCGCGAGCCTTAGAACGTGGAAGAAGGAAACTTCGAATCCTTGCCATGAGCTGTGAGTGTGCAAGCCAAGTAAGAGAGCGACCTGATCCGATGGCATTGTTTTTTCCGTGACCAAGTGCCAAAGTCGGAAGGCGGGTGTCCAAAGTTGTTTAGCTTTCTGACAGCCTAGCAGACAGTGTTCTATATCTTCTGACAGTCCCTCCGGACAAATAGCGCAATAGCTCCTGCATCGGGGATCTCAACTGTGCGGTCCTTCTCTTGTTCAGCCATTTGTTAACTGGGAGAGCCCGATGGGCGAGTAGCCATTGGAAGCTTCTAATTATGGTAGATGTGATGGCAAGTACTCTACTCCATGACTTGATGAGGGTTTGATTTGGTGGCAGATTGAGTTGGATTTCCCATCTTTGGTTGATGATTTGAGTTACTGAAACCGATCTCATTCTTAGGGTATATCCCAGCTTAGTAGAGTATTCTAGAATGTTGTTACGTTTCTCCACTCCTAGTCTGCCTGACTTCCTCTTCCAAGCCCATTCCGCTGGGTCGACTTCCAGGTCGGCGATGGTTACAAGAGGTTCATATATGCGACATTCTTCAGTTTCTACCACTCTTACTTTCCTCATTGCTTGTTCTGGGATGGCGATTTCTCCCAAAACGTTACGACCTAAGAGGCTTGTGGTTGATCCTGGTTCTTCGATCGAGTATACTAACCATGCATTCCCTGGTCCCTCTCTTGAGCGGAACTGATAGGCGGTATTGGGGATGTTTTCAGTTAATCGTGTTGCCCAGTCCCGTGTTCTCCACTCGCCACTGCCCTTCAGTAGCTCATGCCAGCTTTGTGGTATTGCTATTAAGATATTGTTCAGGTTTGCTTGTAAATTGTGGCATCCCCTCAAAGTTTCCCTTAGCTCTCCTGCCGTTTTCCATCTCTTGTCCTCATCATGCCAAAGGTGCTTGACCTGCCACACTCTCTTTTCTAACCAGACTCCCCATTTTGTGTCCTTTGTGGTTAGGGTCCATGGTTTCCCTTGTGGGTCCAACAAGGCTTGGTTACAGAAGATCGGTTGCTTGAGGACTTCCTCTTTAGTTGTTGGTTCTCTTACTTTGGCTGGTAGGATTTCCCTCCACGTTTTCAATAGTTGCCTCCAAAAGTCCTCCCCTTGCTCTTCTTCCAGGTTCCCCTGGTGATCTGTTTGCGCCCCGCCCTTCATCGCCCAGGACTTATGCATGAGCCAGAAGAGGCCACGCATGTTGTCCGGGGTTTTGTATTTGGCTATTTGCTTTATTCTGTGGAGGCCTAGCTTTCTCCAGGGTAGGTTGTTATTAGTTATCATTTTGATGATCCACTTTGTTTGTAGGGCTTTTATTTGAGTTTCCGGGTCCAGGATTCCCAAACCCCTTTGCGATTTCTTCAGAGTGACGTACTTCCACGCCACTTCACAGATGAAGTTGACTCTGGATAGATCACCGGTCCATAAATAGGCGGCTGCCCTTCTTTTGAGCTGTGTTCTTTGCTGCTTGGGTGGGCTCCAAA